TCCTGTGTTTGCCAGCTCCATACACTGCCTATATTTATGGACAGAACTATTTAACCTTCAATTGATTTTGCATCAATGATTAAAAACTCATATTTTGGAGATGTGGGCCTTAGAAGATTTGATAATTTGAGTCTGTGGAATAAAGTCACCACGGATAGACTGGAAGTAGAAAATACAAACAAACTCATTACTTGCACACGTAGTAACACAATAAGGCTCGAGGTTGTCGGTAGCTACAACTTGGATAGCTTCCTAAGTTATGAGAGTGAACAGGAGTTCGGGTTTTGGGAAGCAGTGGTCATGAGTCATGGGATGGTAAGAAGATAGAATACAGGGAAAATAGAAAGCTATCTTATTTCTCAGATAGTTATCAGCCTAAACTCTCAGTGCAGATCGTAGGTCAGAACCTTCCTGGATGAGGCGGGCATCGATAACCTTCAATCTCCTTTTTTTTTAAGAGTGACAGTGAGGATAGGGAAGGAGAGTGGACTGTGTGACTAGGTCTTCACTGTAAGAAATGCTTTCATCAAATGGCATGTGTGTGTGTGTGCATGCGTGTGTGTGATTTCTATGTGTACACCACACACCACATGTGTGCAAATGCCTAAAAAGGCAAAAGAGGATGCCAGAAAGTCAGATCCCCTGGAATTGGTGTTATCAGCAGTTGTGAGTGGCCTGGTGTGGGTACTGGAAACCCAACCTAGGTCCTCTGTAAGAACAGTGAGTATTCTTACCTGTTCAGCTGCTTCTCCATTCCCAACTGTCGAATTAATGTAGATGCTCCACAGGGAGCGGGGTAGACCAGAGGCGTTCCAAAAGAACCACTGTAGGTGCTCTGAAGGGGTGGGGACCTTTGTCTCACAGCTGGGAGTGGACAGAACACCACTGTGGTGATCCACACGTTCTGCTAGGCTTTCTGTTTTTGGAACTCATAGCTTCTTAGAGGGTACTTTTCTTGTTTAGGTAATAAACAGTTCCTTTAGCGAATACGATAGAAGGCTTCCACTAGACAGTAATCTTATGATCTTCTGGGCACTTCAGAAGGTCAAGTTTCCACCCAGAGCCAAAGGTAGACTCAGATCCCATTCTTTGGCACAATCAGCAGGGCTGCTGTTTCAGCTCCTTATTTTACAAGGCTCTGATTATGGGAGAGGTACCCATTTTCAGTGACCACAAGTGTTCTAATATCTGACTATCAGTATAATAGCCTTCTCTCCTTAGAGTTTCTGATTTCAGATGCCTAGAACGGACACTGAGGATGTGCACTTTACCAGGTCCTTACGAGTGCTAAGGAGCATGCGGTCCTTGTTATCACAAATTAACCAAGACCACATGAGTCTCTCAACACTGATTCTTTATGGTAAGCAGGTATACATGCTTACATAAAAAATCTTAATTTTTGAGAATCACACCAAATAAAAGTTATACAGAACATAAATTTATTAGGAGCAAGTTGTAGAAGTATACAATGACAAGCCATTATCAAATCTCCCAGAGTGTCAAGGATGCAGGGTTTCTTTATGTAGCTTTGGAGGTTGTCCTGGAACTCACTCTTTCAACCAAGCTGGCCTTGAACTCACAGAGATCTGCCTGTCTCTGCCTCCGATTGCTGGGATCAAAGGTTTGTGCCAGCACCACCCTGCTGCTGGTGTATGTTTTAAGAGACACTCCCCTCTCAAGTATTAGATACTTAAAAGTTAATTATATCCTCTTTGGAAACTGAGGTCTGGAGGGGCTAAAAGACAGCTTGAAATATGCGTGATAACATCTGAAGATGAGGAAATCTGTGATAGCACTGAGAAGTAGGGTATGGGGGCCACACTTAAAATGGTATCATCCCTTTATGCAAGACATGCCTCTGGGATGACATCTGTTAAGCTCTATGATGCCATATGCTAGCTCAAGATTCACATCCATGCAGCAATTTCTGTGACACCATGAGCTCGCTGTTATAGCATAGTTCTGCTATATTGGCTTCCGTGTACATGATTCGTCTTCACTTATGGAGGACAGAATCCTGAAATCATCTCAATTATAAGCGTATTTGCTTATTTGACGATGACTTCGTTTGTGTTTAAAAATAGACATTTGCTTTTCTCTTCAGGAGTCTCATGTTTCTCTGAATGATTTAATTCAGAAACGGACTGATTCCTGCCCAAAATAGCCATATAGTGAACAGAGTACACTGGTGTATAGCAAGACTGCCTTGCATCTCTCTGCCTCAAAGAGCAGATGAGGCCCCAAATAAGCATTGGCCAAGCGATGCTTTTGAAAATCCCTTGGAAGCATGCTGCTCAGGCTTCAGCCTTGCCAACGGTGACACAGAGAGATGAGCCCAGATACTCTCTGACGTCAGTCACATGGCCTGAAGCATAAGGCGAGTTGGTTAGATTTACACTTTCACACAAACCATAGCATCTATGAGTCAAGTCAGACAAAGCAATTAGGGTCAGTAGGTATAGATTAGAGCCTTTATACCAGGATGCCCGAAGGATAGTTCCCAAACTCCAAGAAATGTCAGTTGAACAAAATTCAAACTATCTAGGATGGGTATGAACCTGTATTCATTTTCAAATCTGTTCCACAACCTCCATTGTCAACACGCACCTGCTAACACCCAGCCACAGTCAGCTAGCCTTCTCTGCTGGTCCCCAGCGCTGTCGTCCATTGCTCTCAAATTCTACACTTCCCAGATTGCCCGCACCACTTTACACCTTTCCACTCTTTGACTCTTTTTGTCCTTCTTAGACAAATCTTCGTTGCCTAGTCGGGAAAACGTAGGTAATCTGTAACCAAAGTGATTAACGTGGTACTTCAAGGCTAGCACTTGGTGACTGTGAGTTGTGAGTATGCCTTTTAATTGTTATGTTTTCAATCTCAACCTGTCAGATGTGTCAATCAAGAGTTTGCCAACTCCAGTGCCTTCTGTCATTCTCTCATGGCCGAGTCTTTCTGAGCCACCAGAGAACCTCAGTCTTCTGCACCTGTGCAGAGAAATACTCTTCTTTCTTTGTGGACTGTACTCATTCTTTGCAAGAATTCTTTTGTAGAAAGAGTCTTCATTTCAAAAGCAAAATCATTCACCTATGCTATATTATGGAAAATCTCTCATTCACTAAAAATGTATAATTTTCTAGGATCTTTGAACGTGTATACTTTGAAGCTGAGCTATGGCTGCAACAGGCCTATAACACCACACTGAAAAGACTAAACAAGAACAGCCTAAGTGTGAGGCCAAGGCCAATGTGGCCTACAGAGTGAACTTATCTCACTATTTTAAATATAGGTGCATTTGAAGACATAAGTGGAGATAGTAACCTTGATTAAAATTCAATTTTTAAATATATATTGCGAAAACATTCCTGTTAATGACTATGGGGAAGTACTTTGGTTTAAGAGATATTTTTCAGCAGTTATCTGAAGAACACATCCAGCTCCCACGTGCATTTAATCTATTATAGTCTGTGCTTCACTTGCAGTGCAACACGGGGAACTGAAAAATAAAGCCAGGCAAGAAAAACAAAACAAAGTATTCTGTCAGAGCGGCTTTTCCCGCTTAGGATCAGAGCAATGCAGCCTGTCACTGACTTTGCAGTTCACTGCAGCATGATTGAACTTTCTGTTGGATTCACACTATGTCTTCTGGTGTTCTGTGTCGTTGGAAATGTGTACCTGGTGCATGAGTGTGCTCTCTGTTCAAACTGTTTCTAATATAGAATTTCCTTATCCAATGTACTTTCAATAAAGGTACCTAGGCTTCTGAGAACATTTCATCAGAATGATGCAAATAAAGGTGTAGACTATGTGTTTATTTATTAAATATATTAAAAGAGATGACCGCACCTGTTCTAATTGATACAATGAAATCATTGCCATTTTTACGAAGAAAATGGAACATGTAGCTTGAATATGCAATGGGAAGTAATGAGGAACCCAACAGATGCAGTAGACCTTCAATGAAATTTACAGAAGTAATCCTAAAAGTTTTGCCCTGCACAATGTTAGAATCTAATACTCTCCTTGTTTATCCATGGACCACTCCAGCAAAGACTTTTCTCTTCTCCTTGAACATTAATAAATATTTCAGAGCAGATGACTTTCTGCTTCAAGTAGTGTGTCCAAAACTCCTTAAAAAAGAGTTTGAAGAGCATCTGCGAGGGGAGATGCTGCAGGTCTATAAATCCCAGTACTGAGAAGGCAGAAGCAAGAATGTCTCGAGTTCCACACTAGTGGAAGCTATGTAGACAGTGGCTCAACAACTGCCTCCTCCTGGTAACAAATAGCAGCCTTAGAAAATACAGATTGCCTTTAAAACAGAACCTCAGAAACCACAGATGAAAGAATGATCACTTTAGGGATTTAAGAGCCACAGAGCCTCATAATCATGACATCAATGCTGGAGAGAAACATCGCCGAGAACTCCCTAAGAAAGCCCTGGGAGAAAGCAGAAGGACAGAAGGAATCAGGTCCCCCCCCACTGCCTGCTTCTCCATGCCCCATTTAGACTTCAACCCTGTGTTTGCTTTTGAGTTTTTAAGTTTAGCCTCCTGAGTGCACACATCCTCAGTTATGTAAAATCTTCTTGTAGACCCAGTGAGTGAGTGTTCCTCAATCATACTGGAGAAAGAGAAAACTAGCTTTGTGAACAGAGTAGGTAAGAATCCCTCTGCTGGAACCTTTGTTAGTTCTTTGGAGCCCAGCATCTCTGCTGGCAGAACAAAGGCAAAGCAGGTATAAATTCTTACACCCCCACACTCTGAAAAGAAAGTGTTGATGTGTTAATATTCAGCTTCTTAAGAGAAGCAACTGGATATTTCTTCCTTCTGCCTCTGAGAATTTAATTCCCATTGCTTTATAAGCATCATTTTAAGGACATCCCTGGTCAGAATTAAGCTTGAATGGTACCTGTTATTGAAAGAGAGTCTGTATTTGTGGTAATACAGAGAATGCCAGTTTAGAGATGAGCCTGATTGCATGGTTCATTGTGTTCTCCTTTGTAGAGCCAGGCTGCGGCCCACTACAAAGGCACGAAACATGCCAAGAAGCTCAAAGCACTGGAAGCCATGAAAAATAAGCAGAAATCTGTCACTGCCAAGGACAGCGCAAAGACTGCCTTCACCTCCATCACTACCAATACCATGACCACCAGCTCTGACAAAACAGGTTAAGCAATGATCTTTGTTGTTGTCCTTCTCATGGTTTGGGGGTTCCCTTCTTTGTCTAACCCCATGTCTGTTCAAGTGTCTGCCCACTACATCGACTCACTCTGGAATCCATCTGTGTGATGGTAATTGGTCCCTTTCATTTTCCACAACCCGAGTCACTAGTTTCCTAATGGATTTTGCATACTGCAGTAGTCTAATGGCTGTTTAGAGAGGGTCAGTTGTTAAGATTATCTGGAAGCCAAGGTCCCTGCTTTGTCAGGCATGTATTTTGTGTATGTCTTCAACAATTTCTGCACAATACGTACAGTATAACTGCATGAGTGATTTATCTAGCCTCAAACACACAGCTAAATCTTCTGAATGAGTGGGGAAGAACTGGATGGAGGCACTACTACCCCTAAGCTTTATTCGCATAAATTGCAAGCGCTGCATTGTTTTCAGTGTGTCTATGTGCTTGGGCTCCTGATATCTGGGTAACCATCCTTCTGCATGTGCAGGTAAGTGTTTTTGATGCCACTTATTCTCCTTAAGGATCTTCACCGGAAAATAATGGCCTGCTATTGGCAACTGGGTTAGTGTCCAAATGTCCAGCTTATTCACAGCTAAGAAACTGTCGGTTTCCCTAAGCCGACATTTAAAATATGAGAGCACAGGTCCTTGGAATTTACTAAACAAGTATTCCTGCATGATTCTGGGATAGAGAGGTAATAAACTCTTACTAGAGAATACAATTTAGAAAACAGTGGCTAGTGAGACCACTTGCCTCCCAAAGTGTACAAATGGTATGGGTAAGAAGGAGATTCTTATAACCTCACTTATAGGGTTTAGTCAGAAGAGAACCTTTTGAGTATACAGATAAAAATATTGAATGTTTAGCAGGAGAACAGACTAAAGTAGTTGTATGTTTAATCCTTGGGGCACATACACAGTACTCCAGCGATCTGTGATTGTGGATACTTCCGTATAAATCTAAACGGGACCATATATTTTCATACCACATTGAGTATTTCACACCAAACTGCTGTTGATGGGTATCCCTGATCCTTTCCTAAGAGTCTGTGTGCATCCCACAACTGAGGATGCAAGCATCCTTCCCCTTCATGCTGGCACCTGGTCTCTTCTGTTGTAGATTGTAAATGATCATTTTAGTGACGCTCTGGTAGGTTCCTTTGGTGTCACCATTTGTCTTAAGGGTGAGCAGGCTGTTGCTGTTGGTGCTTATCATTTACACTCCTTGGGTATCTAGCAGAAGAGTGATGTTCTGCATTTTCATGTAAATGTAGAAGGTCATGGTAAAAACATTTGCTTTTTCTCTCACCATCAAAGCCTTAGTGCTTGATTTTGGTGGCTGTAGAGGAATGTGCCATGATTTCTGTTGTCAAAAAGCAGTATCAGAATGGGTATTCCCAATGCTGCTCCTGTCACGGAGAATGTACAGATAGTTTTCTAATGCAGAAAAGATAATGGTTGGGTGAAGAAAGAAGTGAGTGTGATATTAAAGATTGAAGTACTTTTTTTAATTAGCCCAAATTTCATGCACCGACATTGGAAAAATTGTAATAATTTTTTGAATGAGTAGTCTTTTCTAAAAAAATATGTCTTAACTCTCTCTCTCTCTCTCTCTCTCTCTCTCTCTCTCTCTCTCTCTCTGTGTGTGTGTGTGTGTGTGTGCATGTGTGTTGTGTGGGCATGTGTGTTGTGTGGGCATGTGTATATGTACAAGTGCCCAAGGAATCAAGGAAAGATGTCTTAGTTCTATTGCTAAGAATAAACACCACACCCACAGCAACTCTTATAAAGGAAAGCATTTAACTGGTACTTGCTTATGGTTTCAGAGATTTAGTCCATTGTCACCATGGTGGAGAGCATGGTGGCACACAGACAAACATGGCCCTGGAGAAATAGCTGAGAGTTGTGTATCTGGATCTGCAGACAGCAGGAAGAGAGAGACTCTGGGCATATAGTGGTCTTTTGAAATCTCAGAGCCCATCCCCAGTGACACATTTGCTTCAACAAGGCCACATCTCCTAATTCGTTCAAATAGTGCCAAAATTAGGCTCAGAACTAGTTTTCCAGAACAGTTAGATACTTGTCAGAAAAAAGGGGATGGGACTTTACAACCAAAATTTGTGTATCTATTAGGAATAAGAAATCAGAACTCGGCTTTTCCTGTACAAGAATGTTTGTAATCTGTCATATTGCCTATGTCATATTTAATATAATAAGTATATTAAAACACATTTTTCTGATTTCACAAAATCATCTCAATAAAAATAATCCAATTATGTGAATACATTTTAAAATTATGAAAGGATGAATGAACTAAACAAAATCAGAAAAAAGAACCTAGTTTTAAAAGCAGTGGCATAGAAAGGGGAGATGGTGTGGTCCTGAATCTGAAGGTAGATGTAGCAATGTAGGGATTGTCTCTGAATTATAAACTGTGGGACAGTCAAAGACTGGCAAAATGGTGTATCAAGAAAAAAAACATTTACCAGTCACCAAACCTCATGACCTGAGTTTGATTCCCCAGAGCCCACACAAAATAAGAAGAGAAACAATACCACCATTGGTTGTCCTCTGACTTTGAAACATGTACTCTTTTCTGAATGACCATATACATGCATGCACAGGTGCACACACACAAACACACATGTATACATGCATATAATTATAGGAGTTTTAATTTTTTAAAAAAAAAGTAAAAGAAGTTTGAGGTGCAAACCAGCTTGAAAAGCAGAAATTTCGTCAGACATTTTCTCTTAAATTCTTAGATAATACAGTGATTAGAAAAATAAAGAAGAATTGTGCTTTTGGCCTAGTGTAATGTTTTCTTGTGTTATAAGAGTTGTTGTGGTTATGGTGTCTCTTCAAAGTAATAGAACACTAAGACATATATATTCATACATACACACAAGTATGTACACACACACACACACACACACAAAATTAAAGAAAAAAGAATCCATGAATTTGAAAGAGAACAAGAGGGATTATATGGAGCCTCTTTTAGGGAGGGAAGGTGGAATTGATATAATTGTATCATCTTTTCCAAACAACAACAGAACCCAAAAACTGGGCCATTGAGAAAGCTCTGCAGGTAAATCATTTGCTGCTGACCTCATAAGCTTGATGACCTCAATTCAGTATCTAGAGCTACTATAGTAGAAGAAGAGACCTGATGTCTACAGGTTGCCCTCTGTTGTTTACAGATGCTCTAAACAGGCCCACATTTAAATTCATACACACAATAATACTAAATAAAATATAAATTTAAAAACTGTAAAACTGAAATCTAAAAATTAGTAAAAATTATACCCCAATCAACTTGAAAACTGTATCTATTCTGTGGTGTGTTTTGTAAAATGAATTATAAATGGCCAGAATATGTTTTCTGTCTCATTGTCCCAAGATCTTTATCATGTTGAGGGCTCTCATTCACTATCTCTTTAAGCAGTTACATGGGTCTGAGTTACAATGAAGTCTTACCCTCCGTGTCCCAGTAACTTAGGTAGTAATTCATTATTTTTCTCTCAGATATCTCAGCAGCAGCATTATCTCTTTCTACATGGATTTAACATTATGGTCAAGCGATTGAAGCAGCCACTAACTGTGACTTGCAAATTCCACATCAGTGGAAAAAAGGGTCAGGAATCCTCAGCTTGTGGGTAAAGCTGAAATTTCAGTGGAAGTGACATAATGCATTCCTTTCAGTTTTTACTCAAAAGTCCTAGGGCAAGGCCTAATGGCCTTGAGTCAGGATGGGCTACTCTCTGCTTCAAGGTCAGACACTGGTGAACAATAATCTCCCATCCTACCCTGCCATCTTCCTTCTCCAGGCCAGATCCAAGCCTGCTTCTGCCTTCCTATACCTGTTGGGCACTTACTCAGAAAGTGTGCTAGTGCCAATATTTATCAAATTCCAGGAATACATTTTAATAATTGTCCTCATTTGGATATGGTGGTGTCTGGTTATAATCATAGCACTTGGTAGATGAGTTCCAGGCTAGCCTCAGCTACATAGGTAGTTTGAAGACAGCCTGGGCTACAAAAACCCTTATTCAAAAATAAGTAAACAAACAAACAAATAAATAAATAAGAAGACAAAGCTCAGCATTTGAACAATATAAGTTCTAGAATTTTACACTTTCCTTTTAGATAGTTCTGTTAAGTAACAATGATTCTTCACTGGTCATCAAATTTCAGACTTGTAAGTTTTACAAAAGGTCATCAGCCAGAGCCTCTAGGGAAGTGTTTTGTGTTTTGTTTTGTCTTCCTTTTTGAGACCTACTAAGTGCAGATAGAAAATACTTGACATTTGCAATGGCCCTTCAGTGACTGTCAATCAGGACTTAGCCTACTGAGTATATGGTTTACTCACATCCTATAATTGCAAGGCTTGAGAACATTTTCCTAATTTATCTAAGTCTCTTTATCAAGTCTTCCTGGCAAATATGTTCATCAGATAAAGCTGCTAAATCGCAAATTTGTGCTCTTCAGTTTGATGATTTAGACATACACTCAGTTGCGTGTTTTCTTCTCTCTCCCTCTCTCTCTCTCTCTCTCTCTCTCTCTCTCCTTTAAATTTAAAATTGCAGTCTGGGGATATTGTACTCCCCAGCATGAAAAGGTACCAAGCTCTAGATTAATCACTGGCCCTACATGTTTTCTGTGCTTCAGTAACCACTCAATAACTAACAAGGACAAAACTTCTCTCTCCACAAATAGGAAGTCTGATGTCAATTGGCAGCTAGTAACTGGGAAGTAAGCCTTGTGAGAAAATCTGCACATGCTTAGGCCCCAGCCTGGTCTCTGTACTCCACATGACCACCTGATCATGGTGTTCTGTCAGGCCGAGCACCAAGCAGAGTGAGGGATCAGTACTACTTTTTGTAGGATTTTGGTAGGAGCTAGACAATGAGAATATTGAGCTGGTGATAAAAAATTGGAGGGGAACTGTTTTTATGGTAAAATCAACCACAATGTCATTTGGAAAAC